CTCTGGATCAGCCTCGTCACCGAGTGGCTCAACCTCGTCTGCAAGTGGTGAGCCGGCGGCCGGGCCTCGCCCCCCGCACCGCGGCCCGCCCGCTCCCCGCCCTGCCCGTCCCCTCGCGCTCGGCGCGGCGCGGCGCGGCCTCCGGAGCACTCGCCGGGTCTGCATTTAGCAAGGCTGTAGCCTCCAGCGGGCGGAAAGTCCGACTTCTCGGCTCACTTTTCCATCCATCTTTTCCTCGCCTGACACCCGTATTAGGCGTGTGTGCACACCTGCAGTCCCGCTACTCGGGCGCAGGCGGGAGGATCTAACGTTCCAGACAGCCTGGGCGACCCAGACGCTGTCCCAAATAAAAAAACACAAAGCGCTGGTGATGTAGCCCAGTGATGGGTGCTTGCCTCCGTTCAACCCCCAGGACCGCACGCACGCAGGCGCGCGCACACACGCGCACACACGCACGGAGCAGCGGCGGGCGCTGTGCCAGCCATGCACAGGCTGCCGGCGTCTTCTGTTTGTGCTCTGCAGCGGTGCAGGCCGTACTAGAAAGATTGCTAGAATGCAGAATCTCGGCCCCGGGCCAGATCTTCTGAATCAGAAATTTGCATTTCAGCGCAGGTCCCGGGGCTCTCCTCCCCTTCCTTCACTCACAACAAAGGGAAGCGGGAACCCGGGTGGAGCCCTGCAGCCCGGGTCAGTCCTTGGTGCCTGTCGCCAACTTCACATTCTTCAGAATGCAGAAAACCCCGCCAGGCTCCAATCCTCACCAGCCTCAGCCTGTGATGACATCTGTCCCCAGCCTGGGAGGAAAAGCGGGCACCACCTTCCCTTCCCCATTGCACGCGGCTGCTCGCCTCCTCGTGGCTTCTTCCCTGCGGCCCGAGCCCACCTCCCTCCCTGTCTCCCTCTCAGCAGACGCCCCCCTGCGCTGTGCAGTCGCCCAGACTTGGGAGGGGAAGAGCCCAGTCTCCCTCCCAGTCTTCCTGCCTGTGTGTTCTGTTGCCTGCTGTCTTTGGCTGCCTCAGCCGATCTGTGCGGTTCCCAGACCCCAGCCCACTCCTGCGGGGCAGGGAAAGTTGAATCTTGAGTTCCCTTGTTCTTCCTCGGCTCCAGGCCTGGGTGACTCAGCTGAGTTTGGGGATTTAGAGAGGAGGCCAGGTCTATGCTGTGTGGGGAAGAAGAGCTGGCCCTGCAGAGGTGAGACTGGGATGTGGGTATCTCAGAGCCACGTGTGTGCACGCACACGCATGCACACAGTTTTCGTATTTCCGACTGGCCTTGTGCTCACTTTTGTAGACCCTGGGCTACCCTTTCTGTTTTTTTTTTTTTTTTTGGTCTGTTTGTTTGTTTGTTTTTTGTGGAACCGGGGATTGAACTCAGGCCCTTGAGCTTGCCAGGGAAGCGCTTATTCTCCCTGGCCGCCCCCAGGTTGGTGTTGAATGCTTAGCAATCCTACTATCTCAGCCTCCCCAGTGCTAGGAGTACACATGTGCCTCAGCATGCCAGGTTCTGGGGCCATCTCTTTACTTTCTTTTTTTTTTTTTTTTTTAATTTTTTTTTTAATTTTATTTATGAGAGAGAGAGAGAGAGAGAGAGAGAGAGAGAGAGAGAGTGTGGTGTGTGTGTGTGGCCAGCTCAGCCCACCAGGGGGCGCGACTGGCTGGCATGTGGTGCTGGGGCATTGAACCACGGTCCCTGATGCTTTGCGAAGCTTGTTCTAAGTAGGTGCTTTAGACCACTGAGCCATCTCTCCAGCCCCCTTTTTTTTTTTTTTTTTGAGACAGAGTTTTGCTGTAATTTGGGCTGGCCTTAAACTTGTAGTGATCTTCCTGCCTCAGCCTCCCACATGCTGGAATTATAGATGTTCACCCCCGTGGCCTGCACTTTTTTTTTTTTTTTTTTGCCTCTATCACTTTTGAAAAATAATGTGCTTTTTCCCTGTTCCAAGGTAGAAAACCACAGCAGGGTCAAAGCCAGAAGCTGTCTCTTTCTGACCCTGGGCCTTGGGGAGCCCTCCACATGCCCCACCGTGCCTCATTCCCTCTTCCTCAGGGTCACATGTGCTGTGGTGTCAGCCTGCCCCTTCTTTCTTCCAGGTTTCTCTTTGGAGACCGGCCCTTCTGGTGGGTCCACGAGTCTGGGTACTACAACCAGGCTCCAGCCCAGGTTCACCAGTTCCCTTCTTCATGTGAAACTGGTCCAGGTGGGCAGCACAAACCTTGTCTCCCAGGTGGCCAGGTTCTCAAGAGCATCCCTACCAGGGCTAGCCTCTTGGCTACAGCCCAGAAAACCAACCCCAGAAAGCGCAGGTTGGGTGACAAGAAACACCCATGCTGTGTGCCAGCTGCCCACCTTGCACAGAATAGAGCCAGCAAGCTGGGTATCTGGGTGCACACCTGCAGTCCCAGCACTCTGGGAGGGTGAGGCAGAAGGATCACAAGTTTGAACCCAGTTTGGGGAACTTAATGAGATTCTGTCTCAAAACAAAAATTGAAAAGGGCTGGGGATGTAGCTCAGTGTACTGGGTTTGATCCCCAGCATGGCAAACAGGCAAAGACACTAAGAGACAGGGCCATACAGAAGGCAGTGGCTCAGGTAGTAAAGAAGGGCTTGGCCGGCCAGGGGGCCGCTGAACGGTGTGGGGTGGCTTCTCGCTGGGGTGATGGCATGCAGAAGGACCCCAGCCCTCAGGAGGCTGAAGTAGGGTCACAGGTCCAAGGCCAGCCTGGACTGCATCGAGACACCCTGTCCCAGTCAGGGAGGGAAGGCAGCTCCGTCTGCTATCACTGTCCCCTTACCCCAAGTCCCTGTGTGCCCACAGGCAGCCCCTCCGGACACTGCATGATCACAGGGGCAGCGCTGTGGCCTGTGATGACGGCGCTGTCTTCCCAGGTGGCCACCCGGTCACGCAGGTAACCCCTGTGAGCAGGACAGGGATGGGGTCCAGGGTGGGGCAGCTCTGAGGGACTCCATGATCTGGCATCTATCTTTCAGCCGGTGGGTTCGGGCCATGCCCAGCCTGGCCTACTGCACTTTCCTACTGGCTGTCGGGCTGTCCCGGATCTTCCTCCTGGCACACTTCCCCCACCAGGTGTTGGCTGGGCTGGTGACTGGTGAGCCTGTGGGGACCGGGGGGCTGACCCTTCAGGTCTCTGTCTGCCCTGCTTCTGCAGAGCCCCAGGGTCCTGCATCTTCATCCGTTCTCCAGCCAGGCTGCGCTGTGGCTTGGGCAGTGGGGTTGGTGTTGCCTCCCTGATGTCATTCCCCTCGTACCCCAGGTGCAGCCCTGGGCTGGCTGATGACCCCCCGAGTGCCCATGGAGCGGGAGCTCAGCTTCTATGGGCTGACAGCACTGGCCCTCATGCTGGGTGCCAGCCTCATCTACTGGACCCTCGTCACGCTGGGCCTGGATCTGTCCTGGTGAGTGGCACTAGAACCTGTCCAAACCAGGCTGGCCCACCTCTCTGACATCCCCCCCCCCAGCCTGAGTAGTTGAGGTTAGAAGCGGGTGGGTCTTTGGTTCCCTCTGGCAAAAAGAGGAGCCATGACCATTCTGGGCATGGGCTGTCCAGGCGCAGCAGGACATGGAGCGACCCCAGCTCCCCGTGCCACACATCCCACAAGGACTCTCCCCGCAGGTCCATCAGCCTGGCCTCCAAGTGGTGCGAGCGGCCTGAGTGGGTGCACGTTGACAGCCGGCCCTTCGCCTCCCTGAGCCGTGACTCTGGGGCTGCCCTGGGCCTGGGCATTGCCCTACACTCGCCCTGCTACGTCCAGGTCCGCCGGGTACAGCTGGGCATTGGCCAGAAGGTGACCTGCCTGGCTCTGGCCATGGGGCTGCTGGGTGCCCTGAGCTGGCTGGGCCATCCGCCACAGGCCAGCCTCTTCTATGTGTTCAACTTCCTCAAGTACACACTGTGGCCCTGCTTGGTGCTGGCCCTGGTGCCCTGGCTGGCCCACTCCCTCAGTGCCCCAGACGCCCCGCCCTCCCGCTCCTCCTGACTCTACCCTGGGCCCCCCCACTCCAAACACAGCTCCCGCCCTGGCCCTTACTGCGGAGTCCCACTCCTGCCTCCAGGTCTTTGCCTTCCAGGAGGCATCTCCTGTTTCCCTGCAAGGCTGAACTGGTCCTGCCTCCAGCTCCCCATGCGAAGGGTAAAAGACTGTTCCTGCAGCACAGCTGGGTAGGGGCAGGGGCGCCAATACACTCCTGTAAACTCGGTGTTCCTTTGTTTTTGAGATGTCTGTGTAGTCTAGGCTGCCTTTCAATTCTCAGAAATTCTCCTGCCTCAGCCTCCCGAGTTCTGGGGTTCCAAGTATGTGTCACTGTGCCTGGCTTGAAACTCCTTGCTTTCTAGTACATTCCACTAACCTTGCCTGATTGTGCTGCCCGTGCCCAGCCTGCTCCCACACAGTCAGGAGGAAGGGGCTCTTAGGCCAAGGCCACGGGAGAGGCCCCTGAAGGCAGGCACGGTGGGGGAGGCTTGTCCCACCCCCCCAGCCTCTCCTGTTGGCTCTGGTACAAGCTGCATAACACGGTGTTTTCCTGACTGGGAAGGGGCTGAGAACTCGCCCCACTGGGAGTCCAGAGAACAGATGCAGGCCCAGAAGACTCCAAAGCCAAGTTTATTTCCATGAGGACACGTCACAATGGGACTGGAGCCACAGCCAGGGAACAGTAGGCTCGCAGGAGGGCCAGGAGAGTCCAGCCCGTGCCAGTGCCCACCACGCAAGGGTGCAGCCCGCCTCCTACTCCCTACCCTTGACCAGCTCAGCCCTGCAGGGGTGAGGAGAGGGGGTGCTCAATGTGGAATGGGAGTCGGGCCCCGGAACCACTTCCCTGTTTTTGGTTTCTGCCTGCTGGCAGAGCTCTGCCAAGCAGAAGCCCAGGCCTTGTGCCCGTGGGCCGGCGACCACCAGACACACCTGGGAAAGGGCCACTGCCCGGGCTGCTCACCATCCTGGGGTGCCCAAACCAGAACTCCTGGAGAGAATTCCTTCCCTCTGCAGGGGCCACCGGCACCCAGAGGAGGCAAGGAGTCAAGAGCCAGGACCAGCCCAGCCCCCGCCTGCCTTCTCTGCCCCAGCAGGGAGAGGAGGTACAGCCATGGCTAGACAGCCTGGCTCCCAGTCTAAAGGAGGGACTGTGGCACCATGGGGACACAGGAGGGACAGGAGTGGGTCCTCTGGGGCCAAGGCACCAAGCACAGCTCCTGCCTCGCCTGTGCCCATCTGGAGCTGCCCTACCTTGGGGCTATGGTGCAGGAATAAAGGTACGGCTGTGATGGGGTGGGCAGGGGATGGGGCAAGGCTGAGAGACCCACACAGCACACACTGTTGAATGTGTGACTTTTTGTTTTTAATAGAAAAAATAAACAAAATCACAATGATGAAGGCTGGGCTGGGGTCACGGGGCAGGCTCCTGCTCCATGGGCTCCTCCGCCGGCCTGTAGGGACAGAGGGGCCTGAGCCAGGGCCTCTGCTGGGAGTGGGGAGAGCAGGGCAGGAAGCAGCGGGGCTCACCTAGTGCTGTGTGCCCGGGCTGAGGCCTGGGCCTGCTCAGCGCCCACAGACAGCAGTGCCATGGCGCTCACAGCCTCCGCCTCCTCCGCCTCGCCAGCCTGCGCCTCCCGCAGGGAGCAGCCCAGCCCCGCTGCAGACCTCTGCAAGCAGCTCCAGTGTTTGCCTGGGGGTCAAGAGTGAGCTCCTCAGCTTGGAACCCAAGCGTCACCAGGGAAGTGCCCCCCCCAGCCCACGCACCCTGGATCTCGATGACTTTCTCCAGCGTGGCTACAGCGTTGACATTGGGCTTCTGCTGCAGGATGGCCTCGTCCAAGGGCTGCAACTGGCAGGAGAGGGCGCTTGGGCTTCCCAAGACGGGCAAGCGCTGCCCAGGATCCCGCCCTCTCCTCAGGTCCTTGTCCCCTGCCACCCCGGCCCTCACCTCCACACTGAGCAGAGCAGAGACGCAGGCCTCAGAGGCGTCACAGATGGCGGTCAAGTCGTGTCCCCCCTCCAGGGCCAGCACCACCCGGCCTCCTGCCAGTGTCATCAGCTGCCTGGTCAGGTGGCCAAAGCCTTGGGCATGGGTAAGGGGAGGACAGGTGGTGAGTGGTGCCACCCAAGAGCCCGTTTGAGAGGGGAAGATGAATGAAACCCCCACCACCTAAGCACCTAATGGCTCCTTGGCTGCCAGCCGTGAAGAACTCACTCTGCATTGGACGTAGGAAACACCAGGGCCAGGCTCAGGGACACACCATTAGCCCCGCATTTAGGAGGCTCAAGCAAGAAGATCCATCCCTGAGAGTTCAAAGGCAGCCTGGGCTGCCTAGTTTAAGGCAAGCCACAACTACATAGTAAGATGCTGTCTTAAAACCTAAAGTAAGAAGTCTTGGATAGCAAAACGATCCCGAATGTTGCCTGCTGGAGCGTGGAAATCAGTGCCCCCCAACACCTCTTCCAGAAGCCAAAACGGATCCCTAACGTCCTTCCCCTGCAGTGGCCCTGCCTGAGCCCTCCCTCCCCCATTCCCAGCCCCAGCGGCTCACATCTGGCGGTGACAGAGTAGCCACCCAAGGGGGACAAGTGTCCTTCCACGGCGTCAAAGCCGGCGGAGACCAGGACCACGTCCGGCGCGAACTCACGGGCGATGGGCATGACCACAGTCCTGCAAGCACGCCCTCGGCTGGGACCACGCCCCTCGGCCCGCGCCCCTGCCCGCCACGCCCACGCCCCTACCCCGCAAGACCGTGCCCTTGCCCACCCCCTCTCCAACCTGAAGGCCGCCAGGTACTCCACATCTCCAATGGGAGGGTCCACGCCACCCGTCCAGGCAACGTTCACGTTGTACCCCACGCCAGGGCCCCCACCAACCTGGCAGCAGGCAGGAGAAAAAAGCGAGTGACTCTTCCGCCGGGAATCCCACCTGCCTTCTGCCTCCGCCCCCTGGGAGCACCCCGCACCTCCTCGGGTGCCCCGGAGCCCGGGAAGAAGTTGCCATTGTCGTAGCGGTGCAGTGAGATGTAGAGGACGGAGGGGTCGGTGTAGAAGGCCTGCTGGGTGCCATTGCCGTGGTGGATGTCCTAAGGGACAGGGCAGACACCGGACTCAGCCCCACGCCCCAGACAGCTCCCACTGCACCTGCTGCGCAGAGCTGGGACACGCTCACCATCGTCTTTCCCTGTCTTGGTTCTGGGGAAGGAACTCAGGATCCAGTGCCTGCCAGGCAAGCATCCTACCCCTCTTGTAAGACATTACATTTTTACTGGTTTTTTTTTTTTTTTTTTAACTTTTTTTTTTTTGTGTGTGTGTGTGTGTGTGTGTGTGTGTGTGTGTGTGTGTGTGTGGCCAGCTCAGCCCACCAGGGGGCGGGGCTGGCTGGCATGTGGTGCTGGAGG